CCTGACTTCCAGAAGCCATGACCTTCACCCAAAGCCTGGATACGGGCTTTTCCTTTTCTGCTCACCTGTTTTGCAGGTGTGACTCAGTACAAAATGGATCAACAGTGTGTTAAACAGGAAGACAGACACGGGAAAGAAGAAGCAATAATTAAAGGTTCTTTTATTTGTTTGGAACAGACACATAAGCTAAAGCCACTTATTTGGTAGCTTGAGGAAACTTAAAAGCAGTAGGAAAGGGTATAAAATCTCTCCCTGGGACACAGGAAACCCGTAGTTTTGTAATATGTTGTCTGCAGTATTTCTCTAACCAGAAGCACTCAGAATATTACTGAAAGAGACCAAAACCTGTACTTCGTTTTTTGAAGGTTTTTACTGGTGTTTGGTAGGCACATCCAGCAGCTAATCCTTTGGAGCAACACCTGGGTCAAGAGAAGCCTCCAGCTCACTGTGATGCACCAGTGAACAGCGCGGGTGACTTGCTGTGTTGAGCCATTGAAAACAAGCACACTACCCCTCTGAAGTAGCCAGAAGAATACCTGAATGGCTGGGCGTGGTTCTGTAATCCCAGAATTTGGGAGGCTGAGGCAGGAGGATCGATGCAAGTTCAAGGCCAGCCTGAACTGCATAACCAGATTCTGTCTCAAAAAAACAAACAGAAATGCCTGCATGTTCTCTGCTTAGAGCCCATCTACAACTTGTGTGGAAGAGTACTTGTGAGGAAGAGTACTTGTACTTGTGAGGAAGAGTGTTGTAGGGGGCACCCTGATTTCTGAGCCATGGCTTTGGCTCTCAGGCCCATGAGCAGGGAGACTTTGCTGCAGAGATATAGGCAGCTTTGCACTGTCATGGAGGTTGAGATGGTTGTGTCCACTAACAGACAACATGGGGGCTGCGCCCAGCTTTGAGATCCAGCGTATTGGGCAAGTCACTCACCTATGTGCTTCAGTTTCTTCTTGTGTGAGACAGAGGTGGTGCTCACCCTCATTGGCAGCACATTTGCACAAAGGCCTGAAGAGTGCCTGGCTTGTAGCCAGTGCTGTGCAAGGGTTAGTCTGCTGCCACTGCTGTTGTTACTCCTGCTACCATTGCTGTAGGGCTTTGTAACTCTTCCTGCTCTGGGAGCACACTTGCTTTGTAAACCTTCTTGATTTGCTTATTTTGGAGCAATGTCTATGACTGCCTTTAATAATTCATCCACCTAAGGATTAAGAAAAGAAAAGAAAATATACTTTTCATCTTTTATTAGACATTTCAGATGTTTACAAAAGTAGAAAGGACATATTTATAGAAAATATTCTCTGTAAAGTGAAAAGTAGCCTAATGTGGTGGCATATACATGTAATCCCAGCACTCAGGAGGCTGAGGCAGGAGGATTGCTGTGAGTTCAAGGACGGCCGGAACTACATAGCAAGACCCTGCCTCAAAAAAAAAGTAGTGTCATTTGATGTATGAAAAGTAGTTTTATAAGCCCATTGCCTTGATTGAACTTTAAAAACATTCTTATGTATGCACACTGTACATACTGTTTTATGGCCTTTTTCTACCCAGTAAGCAAATGTAACATTTGCTTTGTTCCTTAGCCTTTACAATTAGTTTTTCATGGCTTTGTGCAATGAATAGTTACTGGCTTGTTGACTGTGTTGCTTCCTTTAAAAATGTAAAAGCTAGGGCCGTCCATGGTGGCACACACCTGTAATCCCAGCACTGTGGAGGCCGAGGCAGGAGGATCATTGCGAGCTCAAGACCAGCCTGGGCTACAAAGTGAGCTTAAGGCCAGCCTGAACTGCATAGCGAGACACTGTCTCAAAAAGTCAGTCAATTGGGGCTGGGAATTTAGCTCAGCGGCACAGTACCTGCTTGGCGAGTGTGAGGTCGTGAGTTCGATTGCCGGTACCTGGGGTTGGGGGGGGAGTCAGTCAATCAATCAATAATAAAACCTATGAGAAAAACAAGTGAAAAATCTTACTGCAGATAGTTTGAGGTTATCTTGGAAGGTTATTTTTGATTGTTTCCTGGTACATGAGAATCTTACTATACCATCATTTTTTGGGACTGTTCTGAAGTTGGACTTACAAAGGTAAAACCACCCCAGGGCTAAGGTAAAAGGTGTCTCTGTGGTGCATGAGAATCAGGGCTGCTGGTGTTTACTGCTGAGGGGTTCCAGCGTGTCATGCTGTAGACCTGCATTCCCCAGTACACCTGCATATGGCTTTTTAAATTTAACTAATTTAGTTGGATCTCCATATAAGGAAAACATTACTCTCTTATCCATACTAGCTATATTTTAGGTGCTCAGTGGCCACATGTGACAACTAGTTCCTGTTTTGTTTTTGACTTGTATTATTACATGTCTGCAGTACATAATGATTACATCCATTGTAGGGAATTGGTACATGAACATAACACATTTCAGTTCTTTTTCTCCCCTTCTCTCCACCTCCACTTTACTTGGTGAGCATCAGATTTAGTGCTCTGCTCTGGACAGTGCAGGTGCAGAACAGCTCCGTCACCGCAGGACGTTCTGCTGAGTGTGCTGCTGCTCAGCTTCTTCATCCTGTAGCAATAAGGAAGAGCCACCACTTAGGGGAGGATGTTCTTCAGCAGAGTTTGCAAGCTTTGGCTACCTGTTTTGTATATAAAATTTTATTAGAACACAGCCACATGTTTGTTCGTTCGCTGTTTGTTTTTCACTATTACCTTTGGTTGCTTTTGTGCTACAGTGGCAGAGCTGGATCTTGGACAGAAACTATTTGTGGCCCACAAAGCCTGAGTATTTACTCAGTCCTCTTAGGAAAACCACTGCCAACCTCTTTGATCCAGAGCAGGGTTTTTCAGTCTCAGTGTGCATGATGTTTTGGGCCAGATGGTTCTCTGTTTGGGGGCTGTCCCGTGCACTGTAAGATGCTTCAGGACCGTCCCTGTTTACCCACTGCACGTCTCTGCCACCCACTTTTGACAACATGCAGTGTCTTCAGACATTGCCAGATTCCTTGGGGAGCAAAATCCCCCTGCTAAGAACCCCAAATCTCAAATGACGTGGCTTGGCAGAGCACTCACCTGTAACACTGCATAGGCACGTTCATTGTAAAATAAATCAGTCCAGAATAGTGTGTTTTTATGCTACCTTTTATACTTCCACATTGCCACCAGAAACAGGAGTATTTACATAAAACACGACAGAATAGCTGAAGGAATAGAAAAGTGGAAGTACTCAGGTTTTCCAGTTGACTGTTTGCCAACTGAGGAACAAATAAAATAGAAATCACAGCATTCCAGAGCTACGGGGAAGTATGGGTATAGTCATCCTGGTTTAACTTATTTTTCTTTCTTTTCTAGTACAGAGGATTGAACCCAGAGGTTCATACTCACTAGGCTAATGTTCTGCCACTGAGCTATGTCCTCACCCCTTTTTTTAATTTTTATTTTTATTTTTTATTACGTTGTTTGAGATAGCATCTTGCCTTGTAGTTCAGACTGGCCTTGAACTCTATGTAGCCCAGGCTCAGCCTCCCCAGTGCTGGGACTACAGACGTGCACCACCACACCTAGCTCCTCAGCCCTTTTTATATTTTTGAGAGAGGGTCTCATTAAGTTGCTCAGGCTGGTATCCTCCTGCCTCAACCTGCAGGTAGCTGAGGTGACGTGTGTGCCACTACCTATAGCCCTACACCCAGTCAAGGCCTGCTCCCTTTATAAAGCAGTGAACTACAAGGCTCATCTTGCTCACTGCGATTTCATTTGTGTATTCCTGGCAAGAAGGGAGTTAATGTTTAGTAAAATGATTAATGAATGCCATAAACTGATGCTTATCTGCTTTATGATTATGGTTTTCAGTGGTCCATATTACCACGATAATTGAAGAGTGGATTGCGCTCATTTCAGCAGCACATGTACTAAAATTGGAACAATACAGAGAAGATTAGCATGGCCCCTGTGCAAGGATGACACATAATTTCATCAGTTATTCTATTAAAAAAAGAAAGAAAGAAAAGAAAAATTGGTTATATTTCCCTCCACTTGAAGCTAATGAGGATTAAGCCAGGCACTGTGGTACATGCCTGTATTTCTAGCTGCTCAGGAGGCTGAAGTAGGAAGGTCACAAATTCAAGACCAGCCTGGACTGCATACGACAGTAAGACCTTGTCTCAAAGACAAAAGAAAGCTAATGAGAATTAAACATAATGTCCTATAAAATTTTGTTTAACTGTGCTTGAGTACTTTTAGAATAGAGAGTTTTTAAAGTTGTAAAAATTGCTATCTTAAGAAGTTCACTCATTTGGAAATAATACAGAATGCTGCAGAGTCCAGGAACAGGTTTTAGTTAGTGACATATGTCGTATTTCTAACGTCTCAGTTTGGAGCATGGAATGAAACAGAATTGGGAAGATTGGCCCTGGGTGTGTAGGTCAGTGGTAGAGTACTTGCCTAGTATGTGTGAGGCCCTGGGCTTGATCCCCAGCCCCACAAAAAAAAAAAAAAAGAAGGAAAAAAGGAATTAGAAAATTTGCCTTTCAGAGAAAATGCTAGTTATATCTTAAGGTGGTCCTTCAAGTTAAAATTTAATTTAAAAATTCTTAATTGGGTTAGCTGTAGTAATACATATAATCTGAACACTTGGGAAGCTGAGGGAGGAGCACTAAAAGTTTAAGACCATTTTAGGCAATTTAGTGACTTAGTAAGACCTGCCTTTTAAAAAAAGGGCTAGGCATGGTGGCACATGCCTATAATCCTAGCACTCAGGAGGCTGAGGCAGGAGGATCACTACCAATTCGAGGCCATCCTCAGCTATATAGTGAGTTCACAGCCAGCCTGAACTACATAGTGAGACCCTGTCTGAAAAAAAAAGAAAAGCAACATAAGTTCTATATAGCAGAGCACACATTTATGGAAAAAATCATCCTCATGTAGTTAAATATTCATGAAGGTAGCAGGTTTGACTGCTGAATTCAATGGTGACTATTTGTATTTCCAAGCATGAAAAACTTGTATTTGTTTTTCAGATCTTACCAATATATTTGAGTCCTTCTTGCCCCAGCTGTTGGCCTACCCTAACCCCATAGATCCTCTCAATGGTGACGCAGCAGCCATGTACCTCCACCGACCAGAAGAATACAAGCAGAAAATTAAAGGTAAGGAGGCACACAGTTTAACTTGGAGTCAGAAGAATTTAAATCTTTTGTGTTGTAGTCACTTAGAGCCCTTTGTGAGTTACCTAGTTCCTCATGATTTTCTCAGACCTAAAGCGACAGCTGTATTCTTAAGTAGCACCGGGCAATCCTGAGCACGAGCACTAGCAGCCCCTGCTACTGTGTTTAGAACACAGGATTTAGAATCCTGTGTTCCCACAATTATGGGACTGCAGCTTCATTAAAAGGAAAATGTTACAAAGTAACAGCTAAAGCTTAAGTGGGGCCAGGAATGGTGGCACATGCCTCTAATACAGCACTCTGGGAGGCTGAGACAGGAGGATTGGGAGTATAAGCCCAGCCTGGCCAATTTAGTGACATAGTGAGACCTGCCTCAAAAAGAGCTGGGGGTAGTTTAGTGCAAAGGCCTTGGGTTTGATCCCGGTACCATGAAAAGGAAAGAGAGTAATCTCCAGTGGGTTTGGTGGTGTTCATTGGCTTGTCCTTTCTCCTCTGGCCTCCAAAGCTGTGGCCCCTGAGGCACACTTGCAAGAGATGACAGCGGAAGTAGTTCATGGGGGAGTGAAGACAAGCAGGACTTGTTTTCCTTCTGTTATTCTCCCTGGGTCTCTATAGAGTATTGTTTGGTGCTTTTGTTTAGATTTGAGAACTTCCATAGTGAAAAGTGTGGATCCATAAAGCTCTACCAGGAAGGAGAGGAATTCAGAGACAGTGGAGATGCATCTGCTCTTAACAAACAGCAGGTGCTGGGATCTTCCCGGCGTTTAGCACAAGTTGCATAGGATGCAGAACATCAGCCTCCTCCAAAGCTGTGGCCCCTGAGGCACACTTGCAAGAGATGACAGCGGAAGTAGTTCATGGGGGAGTGAAGACAAGCAGGACTTGTTTTCCTTCTGTTATTCTCCCTGGGTCTCTATAGAGTATTGTTTGGTGCTTTTGTTTAGATAAAGTAGAAATAAATCTGTAATTGACTTATTTAGGTCTCAAGTGCTTTGCAAATTAACATCTAATTTATGTAGCACAATAGCTACATAACCAAGCATGTATTCGAAGAATGAGACAGTCATTTTCAACCAGATAAATTTCTGTTATGAGGGGCTGGGGATTTAGCTCAGAAGCACAGCGGCTGCCTGGCAAGCACAAGGTCATGAGTTCGATTTCTGGTACCGGAAGAAAAACAAAAACAAATTCTTTTATGAGAATCTGCTAAAATTTTGACATAGGAGTCAATTAACAGGGTCTGCAAACTAGATATTTCAGTGCAGGGTATATTTCTATTGTTCTTATTCATTGTGCCTCAGCAGTGTAACACGAGCCATATTGTATTACATATCTGCTCTGGTCGCGGGTACAAAAGGAACCCAACCTGTGTGTGTCTTAGATTGGCCTCTCTGGCTTGTGCAGTGTCAGTGGTGGGGGTCAATGTCTTCCTTGGTAATTTGGAAGAATCATGGCCATGAGGCCTGAGCTCACTCCCACTTCCTACTTTAGATAGCACCTTTCCCTGTCGTTTGGTTTTGTTATTTTGTCCCTATGAGAAGAAGAGGTGCTCCTGTGGGTTCCCTTAGGAATCGAGCTATTTATTTCATTTTCAAACTTCCTGCTTCTTTGCCTTACACTGCCAGTGTCCTTTCTTTCCCGTCTTGTGCCAAGCCTGTGAGGTCCGTCCTCCTCTCCCATGGGCCCTTCTTCAGTCTCATTTTCCTGGGCTTTCTGCAGCTTTTGGTGTTTTACCCCCTTTCTTTGTGAAATCTACTCGTTCTGTTTCCCAGATACAGGCCTTTTATGAGTGGGTTCTTATGCTCCCTCTTCCTCTTCCTCTCTCCCCTAGGGAACTAATCACTTCTCAACTTGTTAATCCCTCCATTTGATGACTCCTAAATGTGTGTGTCCACACCTGACCCTTCTTCCTGCTGGACAGTCCACTGTGGCAGTCTGCACACATCAGTACCCTCAGCTCACAGTGAGGCGTACTCGCCCTTGCCTAGCCAGTGTGTTAGTCAGTGTTCCTGTCTAGCTGATTCTGGTTCAGGGTACAGCCTTGAAAGCAGGGTTAAATATTGAGCACCCTTGGAACTGGCCATCCTTGGAGCTGTCCAAAGAGATGTCACTTCTGTGCTTAAAATCCTTTGCAAAGGGCAGTCAGCCTGCCATTCAAGGCTCTCTGGTACTGAGCCGACGATCTCTGTCTTTGCCTTGGCTCCTGTCAGCTCACCACTGTGTAATAGTACAGTTTAGTGAGTTTCAGGTCCCCAGGTCTGTTCACCCCTTTTGTTAGTCATGGAACATTTCCTTTTTTTTTTTTTTTTTTAAAGTAGAAAGAATTCATTGAGAAAGAAAGCTTCTGTTTAAGGATAGAACAGGACGTGGAGAGTGAGGTGCTCACTACTTTCAAGGGTGTTTCATTAAGTAAAACCATGACATGAGGCGAGTTCAAGATGGGACAAAACTGTAGTCAGCTACTGAGATCACAGGTACAGTTGCTTGGGTAATTTTGATGCAGTGGGAACTCACAAGATAGGTCTGAGGTAGGGCAAAACCAGTGAGATTACAACAAATACAGTTGCGTAGGTCTTCAGTGTTAGTAAATGCTCGTTTTCCATAGGCTTAACTTAGTTGTTGGGTGGGAGGAAAAGGTTGGGGCACTTCAGCGTTCCTCTAGCTCTAACCTTACATGCCTCCCTAAAAAAGGAAAGTACAAAGTGGCAGGAAAAGATCAGAAGTAAGATCAGAGAAAGGAAGTTTTTTTCCTCATGTTCACTGAGTTATTGAAACAATTTGCCCCTAAGTTGTCACTCTCAGCCTGGAGAGGTGAGAATGGGGAATCTCAACAGCTAAGATCGCCTCCTCACCCATGGAAGATCAGCCCAGAAAGAAAACTGAAGTGGAACAGCCTTGACATTTCCTCTAGAGTGCAGAGGAGGATCAGGGCCAGTCTGCCTGGTGAAACCTGTCCCCCACGTCCTAAGAAGAGTTGCTGACCTATTAATTGGCAGTTAGGGTCCTGTGATTTATCAGTAGGCATGTATATTTTCTAAATATGAACTAGATTTCATAGAAAGACCATTTTATAGCATTTCATGTCAAGATCACTAGGAGGAACTCTAAATACTACTTTTCCCTAACACTGCTGTCTAAGATAACAGCAAACAAGGAACACTATTAAGTCCAGCAATTAGTTCAAATGTAACATATACAAAATAGGGATAAAATATCCCATTAAAGAAGCATCATAACCTTCCCATGTTTTTAACTTAAATTTATCATTTTAACAAAATTATATAAGAGACAAAGCATGAGCAACTAACACGCAGTGGGCAAAGAAATAACATAAAAATTTGAAGGGTAAACATTCTGATTACCTAAGCAAGTTTCAATCCAGAATCTATGAAGCAAAAGCTTCATAGACTCTTACCATGGACTCTTACCTCCATCCAAGTATCTCGTTGGGACCTCCGGATGATGTAGGGGAAAGAAACTCTCAACCTGTAGATGTCTGAAACGCCAAGCTTGTGTTCTCTAAAATCAAGGAATAAATTCTAGGAACAACAGAGGGTTAGAGTAGGAAGAATTTATTGAGAGCAAGAAAGCTTCTGTCTAAGAGGGACAGAAGGGGGCCCAGAAAGCAGGTTGTCCCTGTCTGGAAAGCTTCACTTACATGAAAAACACTGAACAGCTTCACTACCACAAACCCACCATCTGCCCTCTGGCAAAACCTCTCTACTGTGCCTAATTTGCAAGCAAGAGGACACAGGTAGCTCTCTGTAATACGGTGTTTTTATGTTCCAGCCACTTAATTCGGGTGAGGCTAAACCCTTTCCCTGGATGGCCTGTTTCCACTGCCACTGGCAGAGCTCAGGTCTGTATGGCTGTGCCTGCCTCCCTGGCCTCAGCCAGTTCCTTCCATGTATGCTTCCTGCAGGACACTCAGGCCAGCTCCTGCCTATCACGTGCATCTGTTCTCACCCCCGCTTAGTGACCTCGCTCTTCACATGTCCCCTGAAAGGCCTTGTCCTAGTAAGCATTACCGAAACATTTGTCTGTTTGAATAGTCTAAAGAAAGCTAGTAAGATATTAGAGCAGTGGTGGTAAACCTATGGCACGCAAACTTCAGCAGGCTGTGTGTGTCATTGAAAGCTCTAGAAGGTTCGCTGTCGCTAATGTCCCCTGAAAGGCCTAGGTGTGTCAAGAAACAGTGTCCTGGTGCAGCAGCTTCTATGAAGCAATAAGCAGAACAGCCAGCCCATTAGAAGGCAAAAATAACATTTCTAAGGTTTTAGTAAACGTTCCTCTCACTCTAAACATAAATTTAGGCAAGTTCTTACTAGATGAAGGCTCATCTGATCTCATGATCTTGGTGTAAAGTTTTAGAAGTTTAAAGAGCTCTGCCTGTCTACAAACTTCGTAAAGGAAAGTATGAAAAGTGTTTCTAGCAAGACCCCTGCACTGGCTCCTGAGATTTGGCAGGCCCCTATGGCTGGTTACCATCTTCGTATTACAAATCGCAAGGACGTGCGGGAGGGGCTGTGTGTCCGGCTGCTACTCTGATGGAGTTCCCACTGTCTGTCTCTTCATATTGTGTGTAGGCAAGTTACTTGAAGACGGTGTGTACTTTTAGGGACACATTTATTGTTTATTCAGCTGTTCCTAAATTCTTCGTCAGCCAGCAGATTCAGCCTAGGATATGGCAGCATAAACGCAAGGTAAATGATAACATGGTAAAATTACTCAGGCTCATGTGTCTGCCCTGGATGGCAGCTCATTCCTGATGAGCAGACCAGAAGGCAGTTCTCACTGGCTGCTTCTAAAATCTGACAGAGAGTTGGGGATGTAGCTCAGTGGTATAAGTGCCTGCCTGGCAAGCACAAGGTCTAGAGTTTGATTCCCGGTACCAAAAAATATAAATAAATAAATAAAACATGACAGGCAGGATCTGTGTAGACTGAAGTCTGTTCCTAAAATAACAGTCTGGGCTAGCTGTAATTACATAACTACGAATCTGAAAACAATGGGGATTTCCTGGTGAGTTGCTGTGGAACTTTAATATCATATTCTATCTGGGAGGCAGATTGTTTTATTGACACGCGAGTAAAAGCAGAGTGTGGGGTGCCCATTTCTCCCACCACGCCAGAATCCCGGGGTGGGGATGCAGGGTACTTGCTGCCTGCAGGTGAGGCATTCTGTGTTGCTCTCCTACCGTGGTCATCCCTGCAATGTTCCCCGTGGGCCCACCTTCAGCTTTAGTGACTGCACCAACGGTCTTCTCTCCCACCCCTGGCACAGAAGGGGAATCTTAACTTTCAGGACGTGGTGTTGCTGCTCACTTACTTACTCTCTGTGTTTTCTCTCCCCACCCTGTGCAGAGTACATCCAGAAATATGCAACGGAGGAGGCCCTGAAGGAGCAGGAAGAGGGTACTGGGGACAGCTCATCGGAGAGTTCAATGTCTGACTTTTCGGAAGATGAAGCCCAGGACATGGAGTTGTAGTAGAAAAAGCGCCTGCTTTTCAGAAAGACTATTATTTCCTAACCATGAGAAGCAGACTATAATATTCATATTTAAACAAAGCAATTTTTTTTATTACTAAACAAGGTTTTTATGAATAATAGCATTGATATATATATATTATATATCACCCTTTAGATCTTGATTTCTTGGTCATTTCTCAACCTGAGGTGCATAGCATATTCCCACATTCCATTTTGGTAGCAATATGCGGTCCGAATGCATGCATTCATAAGTCCACTTGGCCAAGGCATCCTGTGTGCTACTGAATGTCACATAGCCACTCTGATAGGTAGATACGAGTAAAACTAACAAGAAAAGTTGCTTCTTTTTATCGATGGTTCCAAAGAAACAAACCAAACCAACCAGCTCTTGGATGTGAAGATAGAATAGTGCTTTTTCAAATTGGAAAGGAAAAAATTGGGGAGGAAGAGGCCTGCTTTGGGAGCATGTAAAGCCAGCCACGTACAAATCAGCAGCCCCTTCTTGTGAGTCCTAGCTGGGCCCATTTTGTGGAGTATCAGTGTAAAGCAGGGAGCTAATTAGAGAATTGAGAAAACATTTTTGACTGGATTTAAGTACATTTTTATAAATAGATTCCTGTCCTTCATGCTACCAGACCTGCAGCCACTGCATTGTGCATCAGAGAACCTCTTGGAAGTATTTTCTGAACCTGATTCTTTTTCTTGGGGTACAGCTTGTGATCCAGACTTTTTTTTTTTTTTTTGAGAGGACAGGAGGAGAAAAATGACTGGAAGTTATTTTCTCTCATCAAAAACGTGTGCAAAGTCCCATCCTAATTCTAGTGTTGGGCCAGCTCAAGATGGCTGCCTGGACTAAATTAAACTGAAGGGGGTTTTTGGTTTTGGTTTTTTCAGTTGGTGTGAATTGTGCTTAGATGGGTTACAAGTGTCGTCTTCACATGCTAAGAGATGGTCTCCTCCCTGGACAAGCCGCCCAGTGGACCACTAGATGTGAGAAGACCGGCCTGTTGGCTTTGAGGCCCAGGGCACCACTCCTCCATGTCGGGTTTGGTTGCCCCCAGCAGCAGCCTTTCATCGCCCACCTGCGGGGAGTGGGATACAGGTATTTCAGACCCAAAGCAGATTCTCAATTTCAAATGAAAAACAACTGGAACAAATAAAAGTTCTTGTACGCAAAGTGGCTCAGCATGGGAAAAACAGCTTTCTTCAGAGAGTGACTGGCTAGAAAAGAGGGGTTTGGGAACGTGATGTAGGGGATAGCTTGTGAAGGAGGGATGCTTCCTGTCCTGTGTGTTTGAGAGCAAGTCAGACTGTTTAAAACGCCTGTCGATGCAGTATTTGCTCAGCTAATGTACATCTGGGTTGCTGTGAAGTTTCTTTCAAACCTGAATGTTGCCCACTGAATCTGGAGGGGGATTTGGAGAAGTTTTAAACAGCAACTCTATATATTATTTTTTCACAACCAATAGGACAATAGCAGAATTAGCCAATCCTAAGACCTTCTAAAGACAACTTTTGAATGTTTCCCTGGGATAATTTTTATTTTTGATGTGTTTTTAGTTTCGGAGTGCTATATTCCACAAGGTTTAAGTCAATGAGGTTGGAAGATACCTAATCTTTTTTTTTAATTCAGAAAGCACAATCAGTCTTTCCTTTGAAAAAGTACAACTTGCTTTTAGCATGATTATTTTCCTAAATAAAAGACAAAGAATTTGCTTATATTAATTACGGGCACGGAGCAAGAGGTTTTCTTTTTTAAAAAGTGCAGTTCTGTAAGGCTGTGGTTAGTTCACTGTGCCGAGTAGCGCTAGCGTTCGTGGCGTGTCGGGAGGTAGTATTAACTGTAACATGTAATGAATGGTGTACTCTGACCTAGCGCGCTGTCTTCATTGCTTTTGGGGTGGGAGGGTCTCTGCTGGCGCTGTCTGACCTGCTTCCCTGCCGCATTCACAGTCTGCTTGTGCTGTAACCTTTATTGTTAGGTGCTACTTAGGGTAGGCTTGAAGTGCTGGGTGGTGATTTGAGTTCAAACAATAAATTGTATTTTTTCAATATTGTATAAACAACAGTGTTCTAATTAACCCCCCTGAGAAAGTCCAGATAACTGCTTTGATCTTGTCCAGGAAAAGGCTGTAGGGAGGTCGGAACGGCAGTGCAGCTCTGCCCTCACAGGAGCCCACTTTCCCGGCGTGAAGCCCTCCGCTCGCCCTCCGCTCGCCCTCTGCTCACCCTCTTCCCCGAGCCCAGCAACGCTGGCTGAGACACAGGCGCCCACATGAAAAGCGGGTTGAACAGCAGGTCAAGTGTGGCTGCCGAGTGTGTATGGGGCAGGTGTAATTAGCTGCTCTGTTAGTACTGGGAACTCCTGGGCTTGGTGCCCGAGTCACACCCTTCCCTCCTGCTCTGTGCAGGTCTCCTTCGGGGCGCTGACCCTGTCCCGCGCGCGTTCGGGCTCTTTGGGCCTTCTCCCTTTGTAGGTTGGACAGGACCCACAGGATCCCCTCTAATGCTGACTTTGTGTGCCCCGCTCCTGCGAGAGGTTGGAAGAGGAGGCTGTACTCATAGGCTCGGAGGGGTGGGAGGCCTGTTTGGGACTCTGGGCCCCCACAGTCTGCAGCAGGAGCTGGTGGGACACCAAGGTCTTTCTGTGCTCAGTGTGTCCCTTCCTCACAGAAAGGCCCTGAGATCACTGGAGAGGCGAACTCAGCCTCTGGTCGCGGTGGGAGGTCAGAGCTGCTGCTGGCGGCTTCCCTGGCCTTAACACCCAGCATTTTTGAAACCCTACCTTGCGGTTTACCAGCACACGCCGTGCCGTGCTCCCATCCCAGCGCTTAAGCTCCAGCTCTTGCCAAACACTGACAAACAAGGTGGCTGCAGCTGGCAGCCCTGGTGCCCTTGAAAAGCCCATCACTGGGCCGGTGGGCAGCGGTGGTGTCTTGGCTTCGTTACCAGTCTCACTGCCCTCCTTGAGGTTACTCTGCAGTTCCAGCCGGCATTTTATACCAGAGAGAGAACTGTCAGGAGTTGCCGGATAATCCCCCCCTCACTAATGTTCTAGTCCGCTTCAGAAGCTGTTCTGATTGCCAACCAGCTCATCTAGGCCCCTCGGGAGCCGCCCCTCCCCGCTGCTCCCTCCACCCCTCCGTGGTCTTGGCCCTGTGCTTGCTTTTCCTTGGCCTCTGGTCTGGATGGCTGAGACTCCTGGCAGACCGGCCCTCCGCCAGCCTCCACGCTGGTTCCTGACCCCCTGTCTGGGAACTAGTCCTTGGTTTTCAGTGGCATGTGCCCCGTCCCCCGTAAAAGCCATTTATAAATGTGAGGGGTTTTACTTCATCTGCTTCCGAACTGGGCTCACAGCCTTGTTGAGGGGGATCGTGGTAGTTCTGCTTGGCTCAGGAAGTGCATTTCCTGGGCTTCTGAATCCATGTTCCTACTTGCTGGTGGCCCCAGCAGGCCACATGGAGTGGAGGCTGAGGTGTGCAGCTTTCTTCTCCCACGGAAGGGCTCTTCATTTAGCAAGTACGTGTCTCGGCTGTGGGCTTGGGAAGAAATGGCCATTACTTACTGATTGTGTTTGGTACATACTGTGTGATACTTGAAAAGATCAGAGGGACTTAATAGCCCTGAAATGAAATCTAAGCCTTTTATTGCTTACATTTTCCTTGCCCCGTCTCCTCCCTTCCACCTTTCCCCTTGCATTGTGATGATCTAGTGGGCACGCCTGTCACCAGGACAAATGCCACCTCTGACTATAACCTCTTAATAGTTGTGTATAATGAAAACTGTAAACTTTTTAAAATAAAATGTATATACCTTGCCAAATGGCTGGACCTTGGTCAATAAGATAGCCCCCCCTGAAGACTTAGCCCAGGTTTTAAACACCCACCCACTGTTCCCTGCTCGCCCGAGCAGCTCTCAGAAGGTGGATGACCAGGTTGGCGTGGGCAGGCCTGTCCCCACAGCAGTCACAGCCGGTAGCGCACCCCACATCCCGACTGCCGGCTGCTAGTGCACTGAAGCCCGTTCCTGAGCCCGGAGGCCCACGTCTGCCTCAGCGCCTGCACCTACAGCCTGCTCCCTCTTGCTGAGGAATCTCCTGCTTCCGGGGTGGATCTGCCTGAAGGTAGCTCCTCAGCGCGCAGTGCCAACCTCCATTGAGCCCGGCGCGTGTGTCCTCGATGGCCACCAGAGGGCGACACCGCCCCATCAGTTTGTGTCCCAGTGGGGAGACTGCTGCTTTTGGTAGAAGATGGGGAGCCGGAGCGTCTTTCTTGAGTCTCTTGCCTTCACTCCGCAGCTGCTTCCTCCGTACTCGTCTGCACTCCTCCCTGCGTCGTGTATTGCACAGCGTCGCAGCCACCTGCTGGAGCAATAGGGGGAGACACCTAGGAAGGCGGCAAGGACCCAAGACCCCTGGCTGCATTCACACCCAGAAGCAAAATGCTCAGAGGGTTCATTGCGAATGGCACTTGGTGATCTGCCAGAGCTGTGTGAGGTTTGTTGGGGGGCGGGGGTTGGTTGGTGGTTTTTTGTATTTTTTGAGACAGGATCTCATTGTATAGTTCAGGCTAGCCTCAAGCTCAAGGTGATGTTCCTGCCTCGGCCTCCCGAATGCTGGGATTACAAGCATGTGACACCTTGTCCAGCTAAGTTCTAGTTCATTAGGTGGTGGTCAGCCTCGAGCGCTGATGGGCCTCTGTGGGCCCTGGCACTTGGCTGTCCAAGGTAGACCCGTGGCCTCTGGCACCTGCAGCTGAGAGCTCCACACGAGCCCACGCAACTCCGCGAGATGGAACCACCGCAGCATCAGGGCTTCAGGACGGGTGTGCAGAGATGAGAAAGCCCGAAGTTCAGCCGAAAGAGGACGAAGTCCTGTCCGCCGCGCGCAGCCAGCCGCTCCCGGAGCCTCCCAGGAGCCTCACCCCGCGTTCCCCAGCACTGCCCTGCGGCTACCTGAGCCGTCGCCCCAGGAGTGGTGCTCACCCTAACTTCTCTCGCTGTCCCTGAAAGCCACTGTCCCCATGGGGTGAGTTGCGGTGGCACTGGATCCTGCGTGAACCCTCCTAGAACTTGGGCCGATGGGGGTGTTTGGATCCCCACGGCCCCTGGACCTGAGAGGTGTGGCAGCCTTCTTTGTAAGGGGCGGCGCACCCAGGTCTGGCCTCTGCCGCGCCACAGCCTCTCGGGAGGGAAGGGTTGCCCTGGCCCCTCAGGGTTGATGTGAGCAGGTGACCAGGAGCGTCTGTGTGCGGTGTGTCACCCCCTCGGCCCCCCAGTGAGGATGGCTACTGTTAAAGGCTGTGCGTACCGCAGGGCCTTTGCCCCTGGCGTGGCTCCCGGGACCCGGTGTCGGGGGTCAGAGGCGGCGGGAACGGACCCGGCTGCCAGGATCGTGGCCTGCTAGTGCCCTGTGGCGGACGACGAACCCGCAGAGAGGGTACTGGTGGACGTGGCTTGGCCTGGGGACTCTCCGCGGCCAGCCTCACGTCTCCGCAGGTCTCAAGCGTTTCACGGTGCGGAATGGCGCTCTCCTCGGGCCTGGGGGTTGCCGCGGAACCTCTTGCGTGCTCCGTCCTCCACCCTGAGCAGCACTTCTCAAAGATACATTTCTCTGTTATCCCAGCACTCTACTCTGAGAGGCTGAAGCAGGCAGGTTGCAAGTTCCAGCAACTCAGCAAGTGAGACACGGTCTCGAGTGAGAAGGGCAGGGGAGGTAGCTCGGCGAAAGGGCCTGGGCTCAGCCCGCAGCCCTCGAGCGCGCGCTCCACAGAGGCTGGAACCCGCGCTCCGCAGCCGCAGCCCTGCCCCCGCGCCCGCTGCGCGGTGCCGC